TGGGAACGGGGGGGAGAGGGGAGGACATTGTTTTCGAAGATATATTTTTCCTCGTGGTAATTCCTGTCTTTCATGAATATTCAACGACAAATTGCACTGAGAAAAGTGGAACTAAAATGGAAGTTATTTTCTGCTTTCTTGGTATCTGAAATTCTCTCTGACTAACTTTCGACAAAAATTTGACAGTTAATGTTTGGGAATTTCTCTGAGAGGTATTGATAAATAATCGATTCATCGTTGTGAAATGAAATCACAAAATTTGAAGAAAACTGTAATTGGAAAATTTATACGAGAAATTGGTGATAATTTGACTGGTGATTAATTTATTTAATTTATCATTGCATCACATCCTGAAAATGGCTATATCATCTAGCTCAATCATCTATTTATTCACTTTTTATTATTAACTTGAGGATGAAATTTTAAAATATTCATCAAAGTAAATTTCGTTACTAGAATATGTGATTATCATTACAATATTATAAGAAGAGAAATGAAAGATTTGGAAAGCTTCTAGAAATCAAAGAAAAAAAAAAAAGAATTTGACAAAACTTAGACTACGCTGCTATTAATCCTCTCTTACTAGCAAGACTTTTCATAGCGCTTGCATAAGCCATAATCCTACGTCAGAATACTGTACAACTTTAAAGCCCACTGTACCAAACAGTACCGTTTGCAACCACTATATTGTTTCTACCAAATGTCTCCAGCTCTCAAACTTTAATCCTCTGTTTTTCCACACCCTACGTTTCAACAACAAGTATAAAAAAAAAAAAAAAAGGGAATGTAATAAAGTATCTTCACCTGGTCCCAAGAAAATGAGAAAATTTCGTTTAATTCAATTTCCAATGTAATTTATTTCTATTATGTACATCTGCTGCAACTGTGCTTGTGACGACTCAAATTCAAGCAATTAAATTTAACAGACTTCTGCTCGTAAATATTTGTTACACCTGCTGATCACGTAGAAGATATTATTCAGATGAGCCAAAGTGTTAAGAGAATACTTTATTAAGATTTTATATATAATGAAAATTTGCAAGAATTGTCGGAAGATACAAGAAAATCATTAATTTAGAATTCTGCCTACTTAATACGTACTCTCAGAGTATGTCTAGAATATTAATTCGAGCATAGAACGTAAGTTCGAATCAGAGATCGCAGAGATTGGAGAAAAATTCGTAAAAGATCGTCCTTTGTTTTTTATTTCCTAATAATTAAAGAAATTAACTTCAAACTGAAAAGAAATGACTAAAGACACGAAAATAATCTATGCAAACTAAAATAAACGTTTGAAAATGCAAAAAAAAAAATCCAAACCACAGTGAAATAATGATCAAAGCTCTACATTTGCCAATTAAAATCTAAAACACGATTCCGATCGGCCACCAACATTATCCACCACCATCCCTTTCCTCAAATTAAAATATTTAACAACGATCCCGAGATTCGCCGGAACAATTCGCAGTCCGTGTAGTACTTACTTACGTACGATCGCCATATATAGGGAAACGATGGTCGAGCGTTGCTAACGGGAGGGAGGACGGCGAGCAATTGGTTCGCACACGACTGGCCGACTTAATTGCTCGTGCCGGTGATCCCATTTACTCAAGCATTAGCCATTACCAATTAAGATTGACTAAATCGCGATTGTCACGATTAATTAATACCGTGGTGGCGGTGGCAATACGATGGAAACGCGGTGATTCAGCGTTCCTCGACGTCACCGATGCCCCGGCGCAAAACGGCGTCGCGACGACACGCATAAAAAAGCACCCTGACCTCTTATTCATTCGAGAGAAAGAAAGAGAAAGAGAGAGAGAGCATATTACGGCGCAACGAACCGCTACAAAAGTTCGGTCTTTTGGTTCGGTCTTTACCGATTTCGCTCTCTATGAATTAAAGAGGAACTGCGCGAGAGAACCGGCCTATCTTCGCGTACCCTCTGGAGATTTCGCTTCGTCTGCTATGCTGCTCGTTCGACAATGGCGATACGAAAACGGGCACACCGGGTCGTTTAGGGTACACCGTGAATTACGAGCACGTTTCCAACTTGCTATTCTCTCTCTCTCTCTCTGTCTTTGGCATATTAAATTTTGATTTTAAATAAAATATAAATAAAATATAATTATGATAATATATTGTTAATTAAGTTAATATTTTATATATAATTTATTTGTATTAAATATATACGTATTCTATGATAATAAAATTAGTAAAAAAATTCTATGTAATTTAATGAAAATTAAATAAGGGAATTAAATATTAACAATGATAAATTAAAGTGCCAGCGACAGCGGTTAAACTTATATTATGAGTTGATAATTAATAAATTTTATTATGATGAAAAATAATTTTTAGTTCTTGTAAACGACTATGATGTTCGAAAGATAAATTATCATAGGAGAGATGGACTATCGAAAGACGATAATTGGTTGTTATTTTGTTAAATATCTTGGAAATACTTGATACTTAGCATCGCGGTGATAGTTGAGTGTCATGATTAGCAAATTTCTATGAATTTGTAAGAAGATACAAAAATACATAACACGTGAGATCATGTAAGATAACCACCATAATATTTAATAGATGACACAATTCTCTATCTAGGTTCTATTTTCTTTTTTTAATCATTTTCATGGAAATACGAATTTGCGTAAATATCCGGAGTCTAATCACGACAGTGTTGAATGAAATTTCAAAATGACGAGTGCTGGATTGCTTATCGCCAAGACGTGTAATTCATCTTCCCGATTAACGACAGCATTGTACGCCTAACGTTTTTCGCGTAAACAGAGCGAAGAAAAAGCAAGATAGAGAGAAAAAAAGGGGAAAGGTAAATGTAATCGCACACCGGGGCAAATACGGAGAAAAATGAAATTCCAACGATGAAAACTCGATAAGCAAACATCGATAGAACAAGATACGCTCGAGACAATTTTGGCAAAGTTGCACCATTCGTTTCATTCTTGCATTGTTGCGTCAATATTGTGACGCCCTCAGCGTCGTCGCTGATAATTAAGTTTGTCCACGATGCGTCAGTGATCAACAAAAACACGCTAAAATCACCGCGTGCCTGTGTACGAGTACAGTGTCACGCGGCAGAGAGACCGACAATAAAAAAGAATGAAACATTTTACGACGAAACCATTCTCCGTTCGACCGTTTCATCGAGACACAACCTCGGGGAAAATATTTTCCCACAGCGGGAAAACCGTGAAAACCGTGAGGGAAAAATATGCGACGCTAATCCGCGCGATTTCTCTCTTTTTCTTTCTTTCTTTCTCTCTCTCTCTCTCTCTCTTTCTCTCTCTTCGCTTCTCAATCGACGCGCTCCAGCGAAATGATACACAGATCCGGCGAGAACGTTCGGAAAAACTCGATTGCCTTTAAAGTTCCGCAAACATCGAGGCAAACATCGAGGAAGAACGAAAATTTTCCGGCGAGAGCGGAACGGAAGAAACGTGGCGCGGACGTTCTCGAAAGCCTTTCTTCCCCGCGCTTCGTTTTTACAACGTTGGGAGATCTCGAGGGCAGTCTATCGCGCCACTCTCTTTAGGGGCACTAAATATTAATAGTCCGGAATTGCTTGGAGCTCGTTCGCGCTAAGTCAGCGGACTGGACGGTTTCGATTAAATGCTCCTGCAGCTCCGTTGCTGGCAACTTCTCACCCCCCCCCCCCTTTATTCTTTTCTTTTTTCCAAACTTCGACAGGCGATTGAAATTGTTCAGAAGTGGCGTTTAATTTTCGAAGCTCCTACTCCGTACGAATCTTCACATACCGAGACACGTATGTTGTGCACGTAAATTTCTGGGAGAAGCCACCATTTCTATGAGAAAATACCGGTCTTTTGGAGGATTAAAAAAAGTGTCGTTTGTTAGAGTGATTTTGCAGTTGACTCTATACCTCCTCGAAGAATTATTCGGAAATAGTTTAAACATTTTTTTTACAAAATTATTCGAAACTGCAAAACTATCGTATAATATTAACAGTTTAATATACTCTAATAATAATAACCGTACGATATTAATCTTTCCATATACATAGAAGTATTCCGAAGATGAATGATATTTTTCGACAGACAATTATATATATATATAAATTTCTTTTTCAAAATCTGAATTTGAAATGCATGCATTGATACAAGTTTCCAAAATGCGTGATGAAACTAATTCTAAGAACGAGGATCTAAACGTGATCAAATCGTTAGCGTTTAATGCGCATAATTCTGCGCAGATCAGAGTCGCCATGAAACAATAAAAACTAGACTAGTTACTAGCGGCAGATTTTCGAAATTTATTTCTATTTTTTAAATTATCATTGCAAAACGCGTAATTTGTGCAAATGCATAATTTGTGCAAAAATTAAATTAAACTTGAAAACTTAGAAGAATGAAAATAAATTGTAATTCTTTGTATCTAATGTATCTTTTATGAGTTGCAGAAAAATCGATTCTCGAATATCGAACGCCTATGAACAAACGTACATCTTTCGTCGATCACTTCAGGAACTTCATTTCAATGATTTGAATATTTAATTTTTAAGAAACAGAATTTCAACGCATTTCTATAGGCACAAATATATGTTGAAATGTAATAAAATAAAATGACTTTCTCGAAATACATCGAATACTTAAAAATTGTGTTAGAATCCAACAAATCTGCGTTTGAATAAAATTCTTTTTACGCCATTTTTTTCGACCGACTTATTTAGTAAACTTTAGTAACTTATTTAGTAAACTAAACATGAAAACAAATATTCGTTAAGAACTTTACATTAAATTGAAATGTATTCCATATATTTATGCGACAATAAATAAAACCGCGTAAAAAAGCAATGAACTGTTCAAGTGTGCTATATCATTCTTATACACATACATATATATATCATTCTTAGTTTCAAAATATTTAAAGAAGTAAAAGATACAATACGAGCCATTATATCAATGTATCAAAATCTTGAAATCGTTTTAAATTTAACAGAATAATTATTCACTTACCAATCGCAGTACACACGCCCAAGATTCTTGTCAACGTTGACAGATAATTGGCGGTATTTCTAACGTACGTGGACATGCCGCCAGGTTCTGAAGATACGTTAAAATCCTTCATGTATGTCACCATGTGATAAACAATAAATTTCTCAGTTTATTACAACATATAATACAGATAACACTCGCGAGTAAATGAGAAAACGTTTTTTCGAAACGTCTACTATGCGATAATAATAATACGAGTATTAATTTTGCCACACCGCACACTGCTCCCGTACACTAGCGAAGACCACGCGCAACTGGAAGCAAAAGGTTTCCCTTCAACGAAAGGTTTTACTGTCCCCGCGCTGAACTTCGCGTATGCGCAGTTCGTCTTCCTATCAAAATATTTCTTTCGCGCGTTTTCGTATATTTCTTAAATTAAATGCAAAACTAACAATTGGATGTAAATAAATAAATGGAACACTAACAATTGGATGTAAATAAATAAATGGAAAACTGTAAATAAATAACTGGAAAATGTTAACATCAAAATAATAAATTAATAACATCAAAATAATATTTGATGAAACTGAAAGCCAAGAAGTATTGTTTAAATATATTAATTATTATATATTTACAATAAACACGTACATTTACAACACAGATATGTGCATTACAAAAATATATTCACCTGCGCACATAAGCGTGTACATTAATCACATAACAGATAGACATTGAGTGAGGTAGAGATACCTAATTACAACATATTCACTTCTAAAACAATAGAAGTATTTAAAATATATATTTTCACAATTAGAATACTAATTTATATTATTTTCAATAATGTGTTTTTAAACATTATTCCTTTCGTTTATGGTGCAGAACACTTTTTAAAATTAGAGTATATTTTAATACTGTAATATACTGAGATTCCTTATCCTCATATAACAATAACAATATATTTATATAATATATAAAATACTACTTTTTCTAACACTTAGATTATAAATATTATCTGAACTTTTAAATCACCACTTTTAGTTAAATGTTCTATAAAAAAATAAATAATAGAATTTTTATCGTACATGACTTTCATATCACAAACGTAATCGCAAATGTTCGCTTTAAATATACAAATGGCAATCAATGTAAATAAGGAAATAAGATTCTTTCCTTCAGTTATGTGGACGGCATTTTACGATATCATTCTTGTAAACTAATGAAACACAATTTCAATTTACAAAGGTAAAAATAATTTTATAAAATCAGTTTCTTCAACTAACATAATTGTGATTCATTGTAACTTCGTTTTTGATTGACTTCTCTTCTTCCTAATTTTATTACCTCCAACATTTTCTAAACTCGTACTAAGCGCGCTTAACTTAGAAGATTGTCCAGGAGTTATGTGTCTCCCTTGAATTTCTAAACCTTCACAACTATTATTATGAACAACTTGTACAGGCAGATAAGATCGAGAAATAGGACTTAAAGGTTTCTTTTTACGAGATAATGTTACTGACGATGATGTTAGGGACCTAAAATTATAAAAACAATATGAAAGATATTCTTTATGAACAAAATAACGTTGTTCACATACCTATTTCTGCTACTCGGAAGTCGTGACATGTCTAGTGGAGCAAGCTTTATATTTTTTGGCCACACAGCAGGAGAAACAGGTGTATGCCATGCAGATTGGTAATTTGAAATTTTTGACGAAGCTGAATTTTTTCTCGAACTTTTAAAATAATTAACATTTTTACTTGAGCCTAATACAAAATAACATTCATACAAAATAGTAGAAATATTTTTAACATTCCATACGTAATACATATTATTAAAAAAAAGTATGACATGCCTTGAAAGGTAGAAACTTCTAGGGATTGTGCTATGAACTTGACCGGAGTAGTTTTTATAGTAGAAAAGCTTTCTCTGGTTGACAAAGCATAAGGCACAGGACTAACTACAATCTTTTCATTAAAAACAGTTCCAAGTTTATTTCTACTAGTGTGTGGCCTACAAAGCTTATCTTCCATGATTGATTCATCCTTCTCATTTCTTATTCGGTCATTACTCATAGGATTATTGTATTTTCTATAAATAAATAAACAGCTGATATTCTTTGTTACAACATTGCAAACATTTTATCATTCTACAATACAGTTCATACGTACTTTTGCATTTCTTGTGTATACACTTCAGCAATTTCTTTTTTTGTAGGTAAAGCATGATCTTCTCCTTTATTACTAACATTTGAAAATTTACTTTCAAGAGAAATTGTTTCCTCAAACCAATTTACTTTTGTACTTTTCGCAGAACTTTTATTACTGTGAATAGGTGCTGCACGTATGTGTAAAACATCATTGAAATCGTCATGCAATGAATCAATTTCATTCACTTTTTTTGGAAACAGCTGAGACATTACATATTCATAAAGCAAATCATATACTTCATCTTCTGATGTTTTTTGTAATTTTTGTTTTGATGAACTTTTTCTTTCCTATAAATAATATATTATGTATAGTCTATTCTTACATTGAATTTTTTTACTATAACTTTCTTTCTAAAGACAAAATGATTTGTAATACTTATTATTGTTAGATCTATTAGTTTATGTAAATAATATAAAAAATATTCTATACCTTTAATGTAGTATTATGCTCTGGAAATACCTCTTCAACATTAGTATCAGAATTGTTCTTTATCTGATTATGATTTATATTCAGATCTTGACAATTAGTTTTAGATGAAAGAAACGTATTTTTTCCTACTATTCTTAGGTGTGGTATTTGTGTTCTCCATTGTATACACTCTTCCAAAACATCAGTTTGGGTTACTTGTTCACCATCTTCATACAATGTATTTTCAACAGCTTCCCACTGCTCCAAAACTTTTTTTGTTGCAATATTTTCAATCTCTGTGGTACAGAATACATCTGTCGCAGTACTGTTCCTATCCCAAGTTGATGCATTGTCATCAACGTCTCTCCAAGTTTTCTTCTTTTGTAAACTTGGTAATTGAAAGTAATCGCTTGATTCATTTTGATTGTCTTGAAAATTTTTCACTTTTGATGTTATTTCAGAAGTTCTTATATTTTGTGGTAATCTATAGTAAAGTAAATTCAAGTTTCGTTAGAGTAAAATTTAAAACATAAATTAAGGAACAAAAAAAATTTGTAAATTATGTTAAACTTTTGTATAACATAAACTTTTATATAAAATTTGTAAAAAATATCGTTGCTATTTGTAAAAGACATACGTGTCACGTTTGAGTTTCCTTTTATGCATTTCATGCTTCTTGAAACGTATCTTTAATCAATTGAAGTCACTTTTAATCATTTATCTAACAATCCTTTCGTCGTTACTTATTACACGAAACCTACATAGATCCAAGTAATTTTATTGATTATTTTCTTAAAAGAAGGCCTTCGGTCCGAACATTTAATTTGAATCATTCTACCGCCATCAAGTTATAAATGATTTATTAATTTCGAGTAATTCAAAAAACACGACTTTACCATCAGATAACACCTGATCGACTAAAATTTATGATTCGTCGCACAATTTGTCTTATTTAGTTTTATATATATCCTAGTTCTAAATTACATATTCACCATTGGTCAATGTGAAACGATAAATTTCTCCATAAATTTAATGTGGGAGAGGATACCTCAATATTGTATCGTGTGTCGATATCGTGCTTAAAACGAAACAATTAATTACCGTAAAACGTACAATAATATATGGAATTGAAGATAAAATTAAGTTAGTAATTATTTTCTTTGTTACAATCTTCATGCAAGAACATTTAAATATATTGGAGAATAGTTGGTGAAACTGCTTGACAAACGCGGGAAAAAGAAAACTGTAGTTTGTAGTTTCATAATAGAAATAGGTTTCCAAATATATTTTAGAAATTTAAAATTTAATTTGTAATTTTTGAGATAAAGTAGTTTTCATAAATTTCATATATCATATTCTTAAATAATGTTAAATATAAAAATTAATTCGTAATATATTTTTATGTACATAAAAATATTCACATTTTACGTAATCATCGATACAATGATAATATAGTTATTAATAATACATATAAAATTAAAACATTGTGTATATTTAAATATTCTAACAATTTATTATACAAAAATATTACGAACAACTAATACATATTTAAATGAAATGGAAAATGCGCACTATCATCTAGGATTTTGTGGAAATTTTGCTTTCAATAGTGTATGAACTTTCGTATATTTTTCACTTCTTGATCGTAACGGAGATTGAAATTCCAATGATACTCGTTTGGAGCTATTATTAAGTATAATTGGAGATAGATTAGATGGTTCACCATAAGATTGTAATTTCTCAAGCCGCTTTTGTACAGCAATAGATTTTGCTGGTTGGTTACTCGTTAAACTTCTTCTTGAAGATTCCTGAGGTGCATGATCATTAAATTGCATGTCAGAATTAATATTTTCGTCTGATCCAATTTTATCGAAACTACTTCTTGTTATTGATTTTTTTGGTAATTTTTGTGAAATTTCTACTGCACACGTATCTATATATGTACCACTCTCCTTTAAAAATATAATTTAAAAATGCAGTTTAGTAGGTCATAAAATTATTGTTAATTTATTACAAAGCACATTTACCGTTATCAAACGTTTCAAATCCTCAAAAGGTTGCTGAAGATGATTATCTCGAGGGTTGCGAGTAAAATTGCTTCGTTCTGTGCAATATGCCATTGGTACATTCCATGACGTAGCTCGTCGCCATTCTAAATTACTACAAGCAACAAAAGATCCTACGGTCAAAATTTCTGCATATCCATGAAACGATATTCCATGCCAAAATAGTACTGATAAATACGAAGACTGAGAATTTGTATGTGGATATGCCAGATATACAGCTTGAAAATTTTTCATACCCTTCAAAATAAAAACAATATCACTAATATAATTTTCAATCAATATTTCTTATTAATATGTATATATTATATTTACAACAATAACTTACATAAGGTTCGTTTCCAATAGAAATAATAATTCCTACTGTATCGAATTCTCCGTAGGCTGGAGAGAAAATTGGCTTATTTATTTCATACAATGCTGTATACGCTCTTCGAGGAAAATTATTATTAGATACATTTACTTGTCTAAATAATGCATTTCGACTTGCACTTAGTAGTAATTCGTTACCTCTACTACAATAGATATTATTATGTACTATTTGATTTGTAATGAAAAATAATAAGGAAATGTAAAAAATAAGTTAGTACCTTTTTGCTGAAGGCATAACATGACAGACTGATATGCAATTTCCTTCTTTTAAAATACCTAAAATTTCTTCGCTGGGAGACCAAATCGAAAGAATAGCATTTGTTTCTTCTTCAGTTATGCGAATTTTTAAAAGCGGTGTAACATGTCGTGGCGGAGGTAAGCTTTCTTGTAATCGAGATTCTAATTTTTGCCTAAATTGTTCTTCTTTCATGCGACAATCACTCATTAATTGTTTAAATTCTTGTTCTGAAAGTAATTCCTATGACAAATAAATATAAAAATCTATACATCAATTATGACACAAAAAAACAATTTTATTATATCAGTTATTACCTCTTTAGATAATTTTTCGCAATTTTCATTCCATTCAATCGCTGCTAAATCGATACTATCTGTATTTACATTATCTTTGCTGTTTCCGGTATGAAAATATTTCTCTGCTTTTGCATAAAATGCTTCTATTATTGACCGACATTCTTTTTCATAAATAATGTTGGCTTTTTCTTCGCATCGGGTATTTCGAAAAACTAAAATCATGAAACAAAATAATTTAAAATGGTTGAAAAGATTTGACAATATTAAAGGTACGTGAATCTTACTAGATTCTCCTGATGAAGTTTTTTCATGATACAACATTGGATATACCCTTGCAATTGTAACTTTAATCTTCCCAATTAAACCACCATTTGGATAAATGGTCTTTAATTTAACGCATATTGGTCCTGATGGTACTATGTACCCCAACTTCGTATCCCATTTTGCTCTTCTTGTTGAATTGGTATGAAGTTTTAAATATACATTATTTGGAACCTAAAAGATAATAATCTCTAATGTACTAAATATTTTTCATTAAAATTTTATATAAATATCTAAAATGTTTTTCATTAAAATTTTATATAAATATCTAAAATTATATTTACTTCTAAAGGTGGACATCCTTGATCACAATTTAATAATTCAGATCCATACATTAATAATTTTGTTCCTTCTTTTACTTTACCAGAAATCACATGTTTCATCATTGCCTCATCGATTGAAGCTTGAATACTGTACCATCCATCTGTTAATATCAATTTTTTGAACGGTAGTTTTAATAGATTTTTATTTTCAACAGAGTCATCACACTATATATACGAAAAAAAGAAAATGTAAATATCGATTCCTAATAAAATAAAAATGTATCTACATTAGAAAAGAAAAAGATTACTTCAGTAATGGATGACACACATAAAACCATTCTTTTGATTGCAACATCATCTTTTTCCAATATTTTTCTTAAAGCTGATCTTTGAGATCTATCAATTTCTCTATCATAACGGTACTTTAATTCCATCATTACTCTGGCAGGAGTTAACACTCTAAGAAGTAATCCCTTTGTATAAGTATTATAAAATTTATATTCTTTGTTATTATTTTCAAACTACAAAAACAGTTAAAAATTCTACCTTGGTAAAGTAATAGAACCTAATTTCACTCTATCCATTGATGCTAATTTCCATACAATCCATTTGTAATGATTTTCTATCCATCCAGTGGGAAGCAGATTAGGATCTACACCTGGACTTGCTAAAAATGACCTCTTAATTTCTTTAATTCCTACATAACCATTTTCATCCATAATTAAACAAGCTCCATCTTCCAATTTTATACCATCAATATTACTTTCCATAATACTTTGCCTAAACAATATATATTACATTTATAATCCAATAGCTAATGCACAAAAGTCATTATTGATCAAAATATGTCTCACCCATAAAAATCTGTACAATGAAACTTATACATTACTGCATTTTCAGCTGTTATATTCAAAATTTCAGGTGATAATTTTTTGTTAATAAGCTAACAAAAAAAAGATCAGCAATTAAAATTTAATTGATTAATCAAAAATTATATCTATTTCTTTACCATTACCTCTTCATATGTACATAGAATAGGTTTTTTTCCTTTGCTAATTTCTTTCCACGATATACGATTTTTGGTATTACTCTTTCTATGAAAATATAATTTACTTATTGTTGGTTTTGGCTTATTTCTTTGCTTTAAACTAATTTGTTTATCCTGCATTAGATATTATAAATTGAGATGTTGTTTTTAAAGGATTTTTCTTTACATTATTAACAACATTTTATATTGAAACTTACTTGATCTAAAGCAGCTTCTAAACGTTTCTGTGATATAGTTACAGATTGATTAATAAAGTCTATCATTAACTGAGTGTCACCAAAATCATTGGCAACTACAGATTCACACTGGTTTTCTTCATTTGTCGAATCTTGCTTTCCTATTGAGTTTATACATTGATTTGAACTTGCACAATTGTTAGTTAATTTCTCCAAATTATCCACAGGTTTATTTAGTTTACATTTATTTGTACTTTTTCTTTTGCCTATACTCTTTCGTTTCTTAAGAATAAACTGCCCCCCTATTACAGGACTAGATGGAAAATCCATAACTTCATCATCCTCTTTCTTCTCCTTAGGAGACAACTGTTCTGTGAAATCTAAATCCTTTTCGTCAGCTAAAAGTGCAACTGCGCTAGCTACTTCATGCGAAATTGAGGAGCTATCTATTTGCCTGTTCAACTCTGTTCTAACGATATCATTTAATTTAAATTCAACATGATGATTTAGATTCTCTTCGGCAAGTATCAGGGACGTGTTTTGATTTTCTTTCTCCTCGATATTCCTCGAGTCCCTGTAAACAGTTTTTGGAACCTGAAACTCACGACTGAATCGTAGCTTCTTAAACTCATTAGATTTTTTTGGTTTACTCAAAGACACGTTATCATCCATGTCTTTGATTTTTCGTTTCTGCAATGCTTTCGGCACTGCTATAGCAGTTTCAAAATCTTTCGACATCTCTTCCTGAAATAAAGCCTTTGCTTTTGATAGTGCTTCATTGGTCACGTTAATGCGTTGACCACTTGCAGTTTGGAACCCAGCGGTCGGCGCCTGCACATTACGCGCATTTATTTCATTTTCAGCTTCGAATGCTCCTTCAAATCCTTCAAATCTCTCGGTTTCGTTGAGTTCGTCAAAAAGTTTTCTTGCTTTCGATAAAGCATTCTCAGACACATTGATCGAATTACCACTAGCAGTAGTAAAACCAAACGAGGATCTATCGTTTCTATTATTCATACTTATATCTATTAAGCTCGTGGAATCGGTACAAAAATATACTCATCGAATAGATTGATATTTGAACTACATCAACACTACAAATCGTTCGTCCTTACATTTTAACACTTGACGATATTTAACATTTTTCATAATTGTCACGTGTATCATGTACTAACAAAAGACAAATTTGACAATAAGTCGAGGAGTGCCATCTGTATCTGACAGAGACTTTTTTCATAGGAAATCCATCTACTGTGCGTTTTAAACTCAGATTAATACTATTTTGACAATTAACTTTCAAAAGTTATTTATTAGACGGTAAAATAAAGTAATTAATTTGAAAAAGACAACTTGTTATTTCCTCATTACTCATTAGCAATATGAAAACAAAATTAAATAAAAGTAAAAATGTGAAATTCTTCGACTTCGTTAATTATAGATATTGTAATGTAGTCAATTAACTGTATTGATATTAAATGTCTTTTTTTTCTTTAAAAGATAATTACATTTATTTTCTTGGAAATATAATTTACATCGTATTCACACCTATAATTAGAAACTCTGGGACAACGTCTGTCATTGTGGGTATTGCCAATGATCTGCAGTAGCGGCAAAACATTCGTCTAACCTTGTTACGCTTTTTGTTTTGCTGCATGTGGCTACGCCGGAAACTGAGATTAATAATTATATCGCGTTTGAATCAATTAACATGAGATTCAAAACAGACAGTGGGATCAGTTGGTCCAGCCTAGAACTTATGGGCCTTGTGGAAGACGAGGAGTCCCGCGTCTATTTTGAAAAATTTACAAAGCACCTTGGCTTACACCCATTCCACTTGACGAACTTAAATGCCGCGTTGAATGAAATTTTAAGCACGAATCTGAATTCTTACGATCCTGAGTATGTGTGCACAATCTCCTATTAATTTTAGCAAGATGCATGTTCTCGAGATTTGTTTTATTCTATGTAACGTTCGACATTTCTGAAAGAAATAGTTCTTTATAGGTTATATTTACTGCGTGTCTTTTTACTGTGTTTACAAAGTTACGTTTATTGCAGCTTGAAAGGATTTTTATTAGCTTATAGAAATCCGAAATTACTAACGTCGTTGGGAGAAATATTTTACGATACATGTTTCATTCACGTTGATGTTGAAACAGACTTTTATGTATTCAGACCAGAAGTTGGATGTAAATTGAAAGGTAAAGCATTTCATTGTAACATGGTTTCTCAATTGTTTGCTTGTTATTAACCTAAGATTTGCAGGAGTAGTCAACAAAAAGGGATTAGATCATATAGGAATTCTTGTACATAAGGCATTTAACGTGTCGATTCCTAAACCGGATGACGAAGAAGATTGGCCAGGTGATAATGTTGAAATTGGCCAAGAAGTAAGATTTACAATAACACTTCTTGATTTTAATAGCAAGTTACCATTTATTCGCGGTGTTTTGAATTCAAAGTAAGTACATTTAAATTTTATTTTCTTACTTCTTTTTTTATTTTTCTTATCTTTTCTTTTATATTTTTACATATATCTTTATTTTTGTTTCAGTGATTATTTACATGGCTGTAAATTAATGCTAAAAAGCATTAATAATAAAAGATTATCTTCTAAGAATAATATTTGCAGTAACAGTAGTAATAACGTATCAAAGAAAAATATTGAGCATGCTGGAAAACATACATTTTTCACAACTGATTCTGAAGATACTGATGGAGATATACCAAAAGTAAAAGAAGAAATTGAACCCAAAGTATCGGAGAAAAAGAAAAAAGCCAAAAAACGTGATAAAGAGTTCAATAAAATAAATGAGTCTAAAACTGAATCTGAAGTCAATGTAGAATCTGAAGTCAATGTAGAATCTGAAGTCAATGTAGAATCTGAAGTCAATGTAGAATCTGAATATGATCATTATACGAATGATATTTCCTTAAATGGTGAATTAATGAATAATGAAGAATCAGAATTGAGTAATCCGAAAAGTAAAATTGAAAAGAAATTTAAAATTAAAAGTTCTCCAAATTGGGTAAATGAATGCGATGAAACTTTTGTAGATAATTCATCTAGAAATTACCTAAAATCTGAGAATGATACTAGTGAAATTAAAGTTGAATATAACAAAAGTGATAATGAAAGTATACTTGAGGATAAATCCACGATAAAGAAAAAGTGTACGAAAAGAAAAAGTGATGGTACCTCAAAGAGAGATTCGAAGAAAATTAAAGTAGAACAATTTGATGATACATATGAATACACATATGATGATGCGCAAGAGTTACCAACGAAACAATATAAGAAATATAAAAGACCTTTAAAGTTAGAAACCTCTGAAAGTGAACAGACTACACCAAAGAAGCATTCAAAAAAATCTAATATTTCAGATTCTCAAGTTGTGTTTGAAAATGTAAAAATTAAAAAAGAACAATTAACTAGTGGATCCGAAATCAGCCAAGACGAGAATTATGTAACAATAAGTAAAACATTAAAAAAAGATCCCGACGCATCTAGTTCTACTTGTGATACACAAGATGAAAATAACACTACCAAAAAGAAACGAAAGAAACATTCGAAGAACGCTATTAGAGATACGAGCACGATTAAAATAGAATTTAATGAACATGAATTTAAAAACTTTGCAATTAAAGAAGAAAACTTCGGTAATAATGAAGATATAACTGAAGACATTCATTCAAAACAATGTGTAAACAATGTAAGTAGTTCACCTAGGAAAAAACATAATATTAGTTCGAATGATAGTATTTATAATGATGAAGTAAATACAAATACCACAAAACGTTCGAAAAAGAAAGCAGTAAATGAAGATATAATAGGTAGTAAAGAGATAAAATTGGAGAAATGTTCAACGACTGATAATTCGGACATTAATAATAGTGATTTTCGAAGTACTGAAAAAAGAAAAAAGCATAAAAAAAAATTATCCACAGAACTAAATAAAACTAGGAACATAAATCATGAATCTGAATTTGATTTCAGTAATGTTGAAATTAAAACCGAGAGGTTTTCAGATTGGGACACTTAAAAATATACATGTATGTATTACAAATCAAATTGTTACAATACCTTCATTCTATCCCCTATTTTTAAAGAAGACATACTTAAAGTCGTGTAATATAAACATATATGATTACATTCATATTCACGAATTAATTTTCTGTATATATATTAATTTTATTCTGCTATACCAGCAATGACATTGTAAGTTTTATATCACCATTCTTATATACAGACAAATTTCACCACTATAATGTATGCAATAAAATTTTACTAAATAAACATAATTATATTGTTATATAGCATATTTTAGAAAATTAAATATAATTTGTAAATTTTATACATTTGAGATGTATAATTTTATGTATGTACTTTTTCTACTGTAATAATATAAACTTTAAGAAACTTTAAAAAAAATACATAGATTTCTTAAAATTTCTAAGAATATTTCAATCAACATCTCTATAAAACATACTTTATAGGGTTAAAGAACATGTACGAATAGTAAATATTGTAATAGTGAATATTAAGAAATATAAAAACATGTTTATTAATATATACATCATTTTGTCATTTTATATGTTTTGTCATTTTACATATCACAATTATTGTATGTTTTGTGAATTTTAATTTTTGTTGTATATAGTCACAATAATTGTTTGTATTTGAAAAATATCGCGATGTTTTTTATGAAACAAAAGATATACACAATAAATTTATTATAAAATAAAAAGTTTTTCGATAAATAAATAATAAACAGAATTATTAATGGCTTCATACTTTTCGGACTTCTCTCAATGAAAGTAAAATATTTTTTTTTTAAATTGTTAGAATTAATTGTTTAGAATTAATATAAATTGAACATTTATACAATGTTCATAGTTCATTTCTTAAAACGAATTGCTTAAACTATATTAAAAACGTTATTGATAGATAACCATAATTGTTAAGCATTCTTTTCATTTTCTTACTTATCAAGGAATTTTTGTAAAAGCAATAATTTGTTTATTTTGAAAGATTTACAATGAAAAATTTTATATAAAAACAATTACAACTTTCAAGCATTTTGGTGTGATCAAATATTTTGTCCCTACATATTAACATTTATTTTTAAAGTATCATTTATACTATATTGTGTGATAATATATATATTTATTTACATATACACGCTTTATGTACATTATTTTTATATAACATATGTAAATTATTATTTTTATTCGATCGATTCACTTAGCTGCGTCGCGAAATAATTTTAACAGTTTAATCTTTCGCGCGAGAATATTCTATTTCTTTCTTCCTCTTTTTTACACAAAAAAAAAAAAAAAGAAAAAAATATATGTATAAGAAATGACGCGAAAAATATTAAAAAATGCAAGAAAAGATTACGTCGAAATATTTGTAGGAAATGCAAGTCCGACATAAGCTCTGAAATATGATCGAAAAAGAAGCTCGTAGAGATGAGATCTGTTCAAAGAAAAACTTTATTCACTTTCACTATGGGAATATAGTACTGAATGAGGGAAGATCGAAATACATTCAAGACCATTACAAAATATCGTATTCACAAATATTTCTTAATTGTATTTCGATATTTTTCAAAAATCTATCATTGGCGTGGACAAAGGATACAAAAAGAAAAAAAAAATAATTACCTCTCGAAATAAAAAGCTTCCGCTAAATTTGAACTGAACGAAAGAATTTCTCAAGATTCCAACCAGAAAGTTTCAGTATTGTCATAAGACACTATGTATTGTAGCATCTTATATTCAAAATAATTTCACATGTATGTATATACATCAAAAATAATTCATCACAGCATGCGCTGATGAGGTCCTAATCGCTGTATACCCAATTGATATCATTGTTGTATATTCTCTAGAAACAACATATGGCATGTGAAGAAATGGAGTGTTGTTGTGTGTTCGTTGTTCACGTTGCAACGAACACTTGTTTGTGGCTGATGGAACGTTCATTAGCATCCTGCGGTTCCTTACAATTTAATTAGGTACGCTTTGCGTCATATATCACGCATTCTATGAGAATACATATTTACACATAATGTTAGTTTGTCGCTAAAACAGCGAACAGGAACTTACAAATTAAATCTTAACGCTCGTTGGCCTTCCGTTCCTTGTCGTTCGCCAGGAATAAAACATTTTTCATCCGACGCGTTCGATAATTGCAAGACGTTCCGTTTGGTTCCAGTGGCACGATGAAACATTTATATTGATTACCGTGAAAAAGATTTCAGATACATTTATATACAATGTTCACTTAGCTCCTCGAAAGCTTTACGAAACGGACAATGTGCAATGAATATATTATATACATATAAATATCGGTGTGTTCAATTGTTTCTCCAAGCGATCATCGGTGTATTTTATGCCTGTTGTCCTCTAAACGTCCTCGAAACTATGTGAAACGATTTTTAATAATTTCATTTGAGTGCAGGATCATACTTTTAAATCTAAAAAAATATACTTTTAGAAGAGTTGAAACTATTAAAGACGTCAAAGTCGTAGATTGGTCCTTTATGTTATATCATGAAATTGTACAACAAATGTTTCCCTTTGTCTGCCATAGTTTCGATGAGACTTAGAAGATAAATGATCACCGCATGATCCTGCGTATTGTTCTCGTCGAAGGTGAAAAATAGGCGGAAGTAGATCGATATAGATTACAATGAAATACAAATTGAGGTAGGAGACCTGATACAATAAATCGCGCGAAAAGCTCTTGAGCGAAAAATTCGGAATTGACACGTCTAAACAACCAGTTCAATTCAACGACAAGTCGAACTAACGTATTAAGATAAAAACAACTCTCCTGCGATACTTTAAATTATATATTCAATCGTTGTAGAAAAACGCAAAACAGCGAAACAGTTCGATTACAAATTACGAGAAAAGCCACTCGACGATCTGTCTCTCGGGTGTGATATTAAAAAAATATCAATTTGATTCTCAGATGGCTACAGCTCTATGCACGAATTATCCTGAATTATTATATCCTCGTTCACGATGCCTCACGATCGATCGACGATCGTGGCTAAAGAATTCTGGATCAGTCTCTGGTTACTCGCCTGGATACTTGCCTCAACTTAGCAGTAGATCGTTAAGCGTTCCGTACGTTTGACATTCCATACTTCCTTTTCCTTTTCTTTTTCGATCACAGAAATGATATGTCTATGAAATTAAAAAACGTTTGACACGTTTTCTAAACAGCACCGTCTCAGCACCAAGAATAATCTGCCTTAACAGCGTCGGAGCATGCAACGAAGAAGAATTCGCGGTGACGTTCGTGCACCGTAGTTTCCCCAGCGGTTGAAAGTTTGATCAAGTACTCAAGCACGTAAGATGAACGTAAAACAATGGAAACGGAAACGAAAGTGCGTCAACTTTGGCCCTCGCACTGTGTTGCTACACGCACTTGTATAGTTTTCGTAATACGTTGTTGCTGTTTAGGGTATCTCGGACACCGGGAAGTCTCAGTTTTCACACGAGCAGAGAATTAAAGTGTATGTACTATGGAAGCGGCCAGGGCAAACCGGAGAAGTCCACGGGGCCACCCAGGCCAGCGTCTGCCTCTAGGAGGCTCATTATCACGGCCATCGCTGCCTCGTCGTTGCCATCCGACGGCACTGGATTCGGCGACTCGTTGATCGTCGTTCCACCGATCATGTCCATCATGTCTTCGTCTGGTGACGCTCCTGGAACGAAATGGACGTTACACGCAACGTCTCATTGAAGAGAGTCCGCCCCGTGTTGCTGTGAACGTTGCTACTGAAACTATAACGCTATGCCAAATAAAACGAAAAAACAAAAACGAAAAAAATTAAAAAAAAAAAAAAAAAAAAAAAATACAATGCGGGCTTGATTGCTGGATGTTCGAACCTTTGGAAGGTTATTGTTACGTCATCATTTGTTTCGTCGTTGGTTGCTTTTTTACTTTAAATTTGAAACAAAGCACACGCAGTAATGAAATTGACTTATCGTTGAGAGAAATATCAAAGATCAGGAGAAAGTTAATTGAATAATGAAAATCAACGTGGTGGCTCTTGATTGAGATATTGAGAACGAACTTCCTTCGCCCAACTTCGCTCAGAGAAACCCACTGTCTAAGAGTGATCGATCAATATTGATCTTCTCTTTCTCTGAGCGACTTAATCTTTTTTTTTTTTGGTAAATCCGGCAATCACACTACACACCAATAAAACGACTCCTTAGAGACAGTAATAGCTATGACCTTGGTCGTTCGCGATGCTGTTCAACTGCAAGTTGTTTGCTATGTGGTTGAACGTCGGTGTAGGATTACTGCTGCTGTTGTTGCTGCTGCCTCTGGTCGACTGTGTCATATCCTGCACCCTCTCTGGCGACGCGGTTGTAGTGATCTGCGTCTTGTAACGAAAATAAAATATTAGCAGAAAAATATTGTTAACATATCGAGTACGTTACTCTTCGTTTAATTGTTAAGAAAAAAACTTCTTGTTACTTCGTGCCAATTTAAATTTATTTCAAGAACATTTTGATTATTATTAAACTTCAGATCTGACTTATTCGTTGCAACCTCGAATGTTCCTATTATTGTCCTAATATTTTCGTCAGAGTGATTCAGACTATCGTTAATATTAATATTTGATAAATTCAAATTAAATTCATCAATAACTTTGCTTTCAAATCAATCAAATACTGTAACTATTGTCACTCAAGAAAGTATTACTTCGACTATGTAATCAAATAAATAAGAATCACTTAACATTTGATTGCGAATAACAAAGTGACTGTAAAAGAAACGCTATGTTTATAATATTTACAAAAAAAAAAAAAGAAATTAATAACGAAGAACGTAATAAAAAGTGGCAAAGAGATCAAAGTTGCAATTTCTGTGATTATAGCTACCTCGGTATTTAACAAAGCAGATTCCGGTCCTGGCCCGGGACTGCTACCGGAAGAAGAATCCTCGCCGCGTCTTTGAAGATCCAAAACTTCTTCAGCTATTTGTCGGCCGATTTTACTTACCTCTACGTGACTCGAGATCAATCGTTCTAACCCGCCGTTACCTAAAATTATTTTTCCAGCGTGAAACAACAACTACTTTTCGAAATTTTAAAGTTATAAGATAATAATAATATTATTAACGTTATTATTAACGTTAAAGTTATAAAATAATAATAATATTTACGTTAATTAATAATATTATTATTAATGTTAACAAAGTAGCTAACAGTTACGTGAAAAAAATTACAGTAGTTATACAATAACAGTTCCAGCAAATCCATCTTTCACTATGTATTAATAACCGTAATTAGGTAAGTCTTTTTTTGGATTGTGGATGTTTGCAAAAACTGCAGATTGATATCTATATAAAAATACAGCGCTCGTTATTAAATTTGATAATTAAAAATAACAGTAAGAATATATTCATAATTCGTAAACTAGGACTGAAAGAGAAAATGAATAGAGAATATTTTCACAAGAGTGTCATGTAAATCAATATTAATTAATATTTATTTTGGAAACAGGACAGGTTTCTATTTCGAAATTTTCTATTTTATTGCTCAACAATAAGGTGAACGATTCATTTCTATGCTACATATAATTTTCATAAACGAAACTTTGAAGAAGAAAGAAAAAAATGACAAAATGTTAAAGCCATTGATCCTCTCGTATTTTTTTATCAGTCATGTCCGATATTGATACAATCATGTAATTCGAGGATTAAAAATATACGTAAAATATGTACATTCTATCGTTAATATGTAATTATTTACTGTTATAAATGTGTATATTCTACATTTACTAATATGTATATATTTATAATATTATAATATTATAAATTATTGTTATTATAAATATGTATATTCTATTTACTTTGCGTGAAGTAGTCGTAGTTGCCCTGAACACTGGAATCCTCAGATCTGTTTCCACTACTCGTGATCAATCGGGAGTCACAGCTGAATACAGTTCATTTTCATTAATTCAACCATCTCGTCCAAATTTTATAGTGACATCGAACTACGATAAAAACATGTCGTCGACACTTACGAGGTAACGGAGTTCTTGGCTATTAGGTACTCGATATCTTTGGTCCATGGATTTCTGAAGGATTTCCATTCGGATTGAAGCTTCACGAAGCTCGCACCTTTCGTTCTAAACCTGTATATCTAAACAGTAACATCGACTTCGTCACGTTTACAAATTCGCATCCACCCACTACGAATTTTTATAGAAATTTGTATTTTTATGAACACAGTTGTACGTGTTCAAGACTTCGAATACGTAAAGATCTATGTTGGATCGTTTAAATCGTTTAAATTGACATTCGAAGGACACTGAGAATTATAATATAAAGTGAATTATAGTATAAGTCATTCTTATAGTATAAAGAGAATTATAGTACGTCATTCCTATAGTATAAAGAGAATTATAGTATAAGTCATTCTTATAGTATAAAGAGAATTATAGTATAAGTCATTCTTATAATATAAAGAGAATTATAGTATAAGTCATTCTTATAGTATAAAGAGAATTATAGTATAAGTCATTCCTATAGTATAAAGAGAATTATAGTATAAGTCATTCCTATAGTATAAAGAGAATTATAGTATAAGTCATTCCTATAGTATAAAGAGAATTATAGTATAAGTCATTCCTATAGTATAAAGAGAATTATAGTATAAGTCATTCCTATAGTATAAAGAGAATTATAGTATAAGTCATTCCTATAGTATAAAGAGAATTATAGTATAAGTCATTCTTATGATATAAAGAGAATTATAGTATAAGTCATTCTTACAGTATAAAGAGAATTATAGTATAAGTCATTCTTATGATATAAAGAGAATTATAAGTCATTCTTATAGTATAAAGAGAATTATAAGTCATTCTTACGACGATCTTGTTAAACAATGTTTTGCGTTTACTATTATTGTTTCCTTAGTTAAGTACTAAAATGAGGTACTGTCACTTCTCAGTAATAAATGAAGTAGTTTGCCATGAAACATAGATCTTTCAACGCTTGAAGAATGTTATTATTATCTCAAATTCTAAAAATTGGGTTTTCTACCCCACTATCACTCTCAGCCCTTTATTTAATAATTTAATAGCATGTATCTGCTTTTATTTTCTATAGGCTGCAAATTGGATATAAAATAGAGAAGAAGCACTCTGAACTTCGTTCAAAACTTCCATCTGCATCTCAGTTGCTCATTCCATGAGATTTCCATTTCAATCAAAGAAACAGAAATTTAAGCGGTGGACTTGTCTCTGCCCACTTTACATACTTGATTGACCACGTGTATATATTCCGTGTATGTACATCCTTGTACATTTTAATGAACAAAAAAAATCCGCGGTTGATACACTGGCTACATACTGTCAAATTGCGTGATACCGACTTTATGTTTGAATTTTACAGTTTACTGAAACTATGGAACATCGAGGTGGAAAGAGCAGATATCCACTCGGTCGTAGGAAATTGAGAATGCACGTAGAGCAAACGGAGCAGCGTGATACAAATTAAAATTTCAAACAACGACCATTATCGTTGCAAAACAGCTGAAAGTATGAGAAAGAGTTGGTTGAACGTGGCGACTTACTTGCGTGGTGACGCACTCGGACGCTTGAAGAGCAGCTTTATGAGATTCCGCTAGATGAGGAATATCATCGTGGTGATAATATTCGTACATACTCGTGCCAAGTAGCTCCTGCGGCAGGAAGCCTAACACTAAAGTAGCCCTGCAAACGTTTCATTTATCTGTCGTTACGAACGTTTAAATAATTATTATCATTTAACATTGTTTATTAATAATATATTCGAGCAACGCTGAATAATTTTCCTAATTGTCACTCCGCAGATTTGGTCGCGAACACACAACGACAATCTAGCGTGCAATGCAAATCAGTGGCGTCATAAACAGTAAAAAATTAATCAGGATGATTCGGTGTTTTTCTTAAATATCGTATACTCTGGCAATCGAAGGACATAAATATCATTTCATATTGCACACGTGTAATTTGAATAATAAGCGAAATGAATTTTGGAATTTTTGATCTTATATCGTTTTTTTTTTTTTTTTTTTTTTTTTCTTTCTAATTTCTAGATAAACCGATTTTTTTCTTCGAAGTACTACACTACCGAGAATTGAAAGGCACGTCGCGTAATTACTGTTCTGTGTAATTATTCACCTTTGGTCGACAAAGAGGAACTTGCCATCCATCGCGTGCCGCGAGACGAACTTTATCGGTCTCAAACGCGGTTTCTTAGGCAAGGATGTTGGCAACGTGGACTGTAGCCGACCAACAGCTACTAAACACGACAAATTGCAAGCCTCTCCGTCTCCGTCGCCTTCGTGTTCCTCGAGGTCGATTTTCGCTGGCGCCCAGGACTTCAGATAACCGGTACACTGAATTACACAATACTTCCAGTCTGCGAAAAATCCATAATATCCATATAAAAATCATTGTTCACGCACGATGAAAATTAAACTTGTCAACTTTTTCTTATTAAATAAAAATATCGTTCGTTAACTCGTCTTTATCAAGTAGAAGATTATCTTTGGCTTTGTTCGAATAAAATTTGTGTCTCTTTTTCTCTTTAAAAAATTAAAAAAACGTATGTTATTATGTCGTGTGTCTTCTTCGAAGAGTCTGTTGCTCTTGGTTTGTTACGTTGTTATTTCGGAATTTTCTTAATCTTGGCGTTAACGCAGAACGCACGTAAAAATATAAAGTAGCAAAGAAAAAGGAGACAGGCATGCAAAGCGACCCTTTCACAGCGATCCTCGACTTCGCCGTCTACTTTTCACCTTTGACAAATCAGGCGGCAACTATTCGAGTTGTAAGGTCTCGCACGACCGTGGAAAAAAAGGACTGGCGACTCTCTCAGTGTCACCTGCATACTTGTATCAGTTATCTAAAGTTAAATATCTAAAATTCGTCGTTTTCATGGATCCGGCGAATTTTTAATGATATAATTTTGAATTTCATTCCTCCTCCATCGAGTTGAATTGACTTCGCTTTCTTAATTGGAGATTGACGAATTTGAACGAAGAAACCACCCACCGACGTTTTGTTGTTTTTTTCGTCGATGACACGCGCTGGCCGTGTCAGCTTCCTCCTTCACTTGCAACTCGCTGCAACGAACACCTTCCACTTTTCGCTTCATCCTGCAGAAGAAAGATCTTCGCGCGCCGGGACATAATCTCGATACACCCTGGGGCACGTCCGTTTTCACCGGTAACATCGCTGAAACAATATTAAACAGACACGAATGATGTATTTATTAATCGTTCGATTCTTCGTTCCAGAGACTGAAAACCGAAACGTTTTGAAGTTTAGGTATTATACCCAGGTATAATATGCCGAAATATCGTGAGGTTTAGGTATTATTACACCGGTATTTGCTCTCATAATATAGCCGTAATATAACCGCTGTTTGAAAAATCGGTATAAGACGATCATACCAGTATTTTCATACGTATTTTTATTAGTATTTGATGTGCATAACGGTAAAAATACCGAAATATATACCGTTTTACTGATGAAAACATATTTTTCATTTTCTACGTACATTGATTCTTATTAATATTCGGACATTGTGCTATTCAAAATATTGTTATGGATTTCGATTATTTATAATAATAAATTTGAATTAATTTTTTAATATAATAGAACATTCATTATAGTTTATAGTAACGTAAGTTTTATTCATTTATTGTACATACTTTTTTTAATATCAAACAATAAACTGAACTATGTCGAAATTTAGCGTGGCAAAAATATTCGGACATTTGAGGAACTAACAATATTTGAACCTGAAGATTGTTAACATAAACAATAATTAATATTTTGTTAGGTAACCATAAACTTCAATAATATATCGCAGACGATTATGGCATATTTCCAGTAATATTTTTAAGTAATTTCGCGGAATATTCTACCATTTTACGATTAATCGTTGTTTCAACTCTTCTTTTGATTTATTGACGTACGACAATTAGTCATTTTTCACCGAGAAAAAAAGAAAATCGTATCGAGAAACCGGTCGTCTTTTAAAATTAAGTAAGAGTATCGTGGCTGAGTATTGTACAGAGATACAACAATGAATTAGTATTAGAAATAATAAAGGATACCTGTATAAGCGTCATCAAATTTACTATCGGCAGCTTTATGAAAACATTTAATCATTGTCGCCTTTTCCTTTTTTAATATATTAATATTTTATTTACCGGTAATATATTAATATTTTATTATACCGGTATTATACCGAAATACATCTACCGATCTAACATCGTTTTGATAGCATCGTACCGGTATTCGCACCATTTCGGTTTCATCAAACGTAATCGAATAGTAACCTAAAAATACCGGCATTTTACCGGTATCCGTAATACCGATTCGGTTTTTGCTTCGTTCATTCGACGAAGCTGCTTAACTTCAGCAACTGGAATGACGTGCCACGCACATCGAGAATATTTGGCCCAAAATTGCAATATTTTCTTAGTGTTAAGTATATTTAAGTAATAAATTTATTACTTCTCAATAAATTCTATACCGACGAGTTGGAAAAGAAAGCGACAAATTACTGTATACGATTCGGTCACTCGTTATGGTCCGCAATCAATTGCCAACGCAAGTGATTAATCTCTTGCTACGCACGTCGAGAATTTTCTGTCCCAAAATTGCAATATTTTCTCAATATATTTTTAAAGTATATTTAAGTATAACCCAGGCAAAACAAATAATAAATTTATTGCTTCTCAATAATTTTTATACCGACGAGTTGGAAAAGAAAGCGACAAATTACTATATACGATTCGGTCACTCGTTATGGTCCGCAATCAATTGCCAGCGCAAGTGGTTAATCTCTTGCTACGCACGTCGAATATTTTCTGTCCCAAAATTGCAATATTTTCTCAATATACTTTTAAAGTATATTTAAGTATAACCCAGGCAAAACAAATAATAAATTCATTACTTTTCAATAATTTCTATACCGACGAGTTGGAAAAGAAAGCGACAAATTACTGTATACAGGTTCGGTCACTCGTTATGGTCCGCAATCAATTGCCAGCGCAAGTGGTTAATCTCTTGCTACGCACCTCGAGAATTTTCTGTTCCAAAATTGCAATATTTTCTCAATATACTTTTGAAGTATATTTAAGTATAATCCAGGCAAAACAAATAATAAATTCATTGCTTCTCAATAATTTCTATCCAGTAGTATTATACTGACGAGTTGAAAAAGAAAGCGACAAATTACTGTGTACGGTTCGGTCACTCGTTATGGTCCGCGATCAGTTGCCAGCGCAAGTGGTTAGAATCTCTTGCGCTGGAACGACGTGCCACGCACGTCGATATTTTGTCCGAAAATTGCAATATTTTCTCAATATACTTTTAATGTATATTTAAGTATAACCCAGGCAAAACAAATAATAAATTCATTACCTCTCAATAATTTCTATATCGACGAGTTGGAAAAGAAAGCGACAAATTACTGTATACGGTTCGGTCACTCGTTATGGTCCGCGATCAGCTGCCAGCGCAAGTAGTTAATCTCTTGAATGACGTGCCACGCACGTCGAGAATTTTTTGCCCCAAAATTGCAATATTTTCTCGGTTTTAAGTATATTGAAATACAACCCAGACAAAACAAATAATAAATTTATTACTTCTTAGTAATTTCTATCCAGTGACATACCGATGTGTTCAAAAAGAATTATTGTATACGGTTTGGTCACTCGTTATGGTCCGCGAATTAGTTACTAGCGCAGTTAATAAAAAAATGATAAATGATAATTTTGAAACTGTCTGTTCTCGTCTTTTATTTCCACTCACATTTTGTTCGTATCGGCGTCGACGCGCGCGTGTATCGACGAGTTTTTCGCATAATTTCTCCACCTGCGGGGGAAAATCGACACGTGCATTGTGCGTGTCGCGTATTTGCAGGATGATAAAAAGAGGAAATGCGAGGATGCTTCGAAGACAAGTGATTCACAAACGTGAATATTAACGAGTCAATAGACACGTGTATACTACTGTTCGTTTATCCTTTCATTGTTATTACTTATTTACGTATTCAGAAGGAATAAATTGTTATTCGTTGTTCGTGTTTCATATTTTTTAAGCAGTTTACAAATGCGAGTATCAATGTGCACTATTGTTTATTTATTTATCCTATCATTATTATTATTCATTTATCTATTCGGAAGGAATTAAAATTATTATCCGTTGTCATTCAAATTTTAAGTATTTAGCGATGAACATGGACGTAAAAAAAGAAAAGATATCTACACATCTTTATCCTTTTCCAGAAAATTAATATCATTTAAATAACAAAAGTACGGTTCCGATTATGTTTAAACATAATTAAACATTTAAAAGTCATGTTACTTTGCAACTCGTGCGTACAATCCAACGCCGGATTTATTGCCATTCACCTCAATATTCATCTGCACGTACATATGTACATTACAAATTGCAATCCGTACAATCTCAAAGCACATAAATCAAAACTCCGTCCAAGTAGATGCACTCGCAACACGAGTAGAAAAACATGTCGATACCTAAGATACATTGTTGTCTGACATTTACAGTCGTAAAAATGTTGCGTCTAATCGTCTAACGATCAAAGTATAAAATTCCCATCAGAGACATTAAAGTAAAAAAAAAAAAAAAATAGGAAAACTTTGTAAGAATTGTACAATTGATAGAAAAAAAAAGAAATCGTTTCAAATTCAATTCAATTCATTAATTCTTCAATCGATTGTGTAATTATTTCATTACTCGACGAATTTTCAATTCATAAATTTTACAAAAAGTGATCATTTAAATTTCCAAAAGTTTCATCCGTCTCGCGTCTATGGACCGTGTAACAAAAGCTACAAACTGGTCATTTCGACGAGCTTTGGTAGTTTGCTAGTGCTAAACTTGCGCCTGTGTGTTGTATACACACATGTGTACGATAAAAAGAACGCGATCCCAGGAACGTTGACGTGACGTTAACGCATACTGCGGCCGCATTTGCCGGCGTGTGCAATCTCTTCTTTAGTCAAGCCGTATTCATCACTTTCCGTAATACATCCCATGCATCGCAGTTATGCAATTAATCTCACTGTAGTGGTGTGTGTTGCACCGTAACCGACTAATTCCCTTTCGTCTAAGAATCTTATGTAAGTGAACGGCAATCACGAGCTTCGATCTTTTTTTTTTTTTGCTTTTTTTTTCAATCGTACTCTTCTAAAAATGCGTGAATGAATGCTGAAACATGTTCGATCAAAACACAAACACGCAGCATATAAAGTATTCAATTCTCGTTTTCTTTCAGTTCACTATAATTTATCAGATTTATCGATAAATCTTACATTGACTAACGTTATTCGAATGTGTAAAGTATTCGAGTGTTTTTTTTTTTTATTAATTTATAATTAATTTACGTGTAATAAAGTATTCAATTCTTTTCTTTTTTATTCAACTCTAATTTATTAGTATTGATTAGTATTTACTAGGTTACAATTCAAACGTAGTGAAATTTAGTATTTTACGTAAAATATTTCATTCTTCTTCAGTTACTCTAATTCAACATATTCAATTCTTTTCTTTTTTATTCAACTCTAATTTATTAGTATTGATTAGTATTTACTAGATTACAATTCAAACGTAATGAAATTTAGTATTTTATGTAAAATATTTAATTCTTCTTCAGTTACTCTAATTCAACATATTCAATTCTTTTCTTTTT